ATGTGCTTTGAGTTTTAGTAATGTTTCTTTTATGAACGGGGATGGCTTTGTATTTAGGGCATAGATGTTCAGAATTGAGACTTCACCTTGGTTGATTTCTCCTGTGATGAGTATGAAGTGGCCTCCTTCATCTCTTTTGATTGGTTTTTGTTCAAAGTCTAATTTGCTAGATATTAGTATTGCTACCCCTGCTTGTTTCTTGGGTCCATTTGATTGGAAAATCTTTTCCCAACCCTTAACTCTTAAATAACATCTGTCTTTAAAGCTGAGGTGTGTTTTCTGTATGCAGCAGAAGGATGGACTCTGTCTTCAAATCCATTCTGTTGACCTGTGTCTTTTTATGGGCAAGTTAAGACCATTAATATTGAGGGAAATTAATGACCATTGATAGTTCATTCTTGTTTGTTTTGGAGTGGTTGGTGGTGGTGGTATTGTATACGGAATTCCACCACTTTTTCTTTTGCCTGTTGGTAAAGTGGGATTATCTATTGGCTATGATTTTCTGATTGTAGTTAACTTCCTTGGGTTGGAGGTTTCCTTCCAGAATTTTCTGTAGGGCTGGGTTAGTGGATACGTATTGTTTAAATCTGTTTTTTTCATGAAATATCCCGTTTTCTCCATCTATATTGATTGAAAGCTTTGCTGGGTATAGCAGTCTTGGCTGGCATCTGTGGCCTGTAAATGTTGGTAGAATACCTGTATTCCACCTGGCTTTTTAAAACTTGGCTTCTTCCTGATTGCTGTGACAATTTTTGATATTTTATGTTTCAGTTACTATTTTATCTTGTGTAGAAAATCTCTTCTAATACATTAGTTTCCAACAGTTTATATTTGTCTGTATTATCATGTGTTTGTCTTTGAGATATTTTGAGATCATTTTTATTACGTTTTTCTTCATAGTAGTCTAAATACCATTCTTCCCAAAATACTTAATTTAAAAATAAAAAATCTAATGTGAGCCTTTATGGTAGTATGTTTCTTGCAAGTTCACTGATATTTGACTACTGCTAATACACAAAGATGTCTTTGCCCTCTATTTTGTGTGAAAGCAATGAGTAAATTACTCCTACTTTACAATGTCTATCATTCACAATTGTGAGAAGAATGTAATCTATTTCAATGTGAGCAATATATACTCTACTCTTTTTTTATTGAAGCAACATTGGTGGTGTACAAAATTTGCAAATATCACATTTTTCTCTAATATAGAAACTTTTAAGTTTTATTATTTCTCATCTACTGTGTTTTCTATTCTGCTAGATCTGACACATCTATTCATGAGATTAAAATGTAATTACATCATTTTACTTTTCTGTTTCCTCACATCAATCCTGCACCACAAGTATATTGCCTTGCTGTCTCCAACTGAGTTTCTCCTTGTTAATATAATTATATACAACATTCTTAGGATATTCTATATTACTTGCTTAAATGGATTTTATTGCAGACTCGTTATTTTTGCACAGCCAAATTGGCACATGTTTTAAAAAAATAATTAAATATTATACAATGTGAATCTTAACTTTTTTGTCTTGGCAACTAATTTTTTGCACCATAAAAGATGGGAAATTTGGGTGTGTGCAATAAATTACTGCCACATCATAGCAGATATAGAGGCTTTCCTTAAGCTTCTCCTAAATTAAAAAATTTATGTTTCATGGAAGCTAGTAATTTCATAGAGGAATGAAATCAATAGTCATTTATATGATCTAGTTGCTCAGGGAATTGACATATGTATTTTTATAGTACTTTTTTGGGAGATTTGTCCTGTGACAGTGTGTTTAGGAAATTGTTTTAAGACCTTATTACTGAACTCAGTAACTTCAGTTTCCCGCTTGGGGATACTTCACTGTCTCTATATTAAGTAGTTTTTGGGATATTTGATTGTATCTTACTGGACCATCCTGTGAATCCCTTGGATAAATAATATATTTTCCTTCAATTCCAACAGTATATTTTAACCAGAGGCACATCCTTCTTTACACCTTGCTGCTACTTTCATACAACAAGTTATCCTGGGATTTAGAAAATTGGAATATTCCTTAATCATGACAAAATTTGTGTATATGTTTGTGTGTGTAAAATATTCTATCTATTTAGAAGAAATGATGTTAACAGTTACTCTTTCATAGCAGATAAAATTATTTATAACTCTTTCTGAGGACCTGGAGCTAGTTCTGGACAATCATGTGTTGAGCCATACCTCTTAATGACTCTAGATCCAAGGTGTTCTCTTTTGTCCTCTCTAGGCAGTAGATGCATGTGGTACACATTCATGCACATAGGCAAAACCCACTCATAAATTAAATGAAACATAAAACGTTTAGACCTAAATAATTCCACCTGATTTGGTGATACTGTGCATTATGAATGTGAAGCATGACACAATATGCCACCATTAAGTTGATTTCTCTCACATTCACTACCAAAGCAATAATAAAACCCATATGCTGACTGATTTTTACTATTAAATGGACTCCATTGAAGAATGGATGCATACTTGACCTGTTATAAACAACAAAATCATGTTGAGTATTAATCTGAAAACGTGAACATAAGTAGTTCCTGGAATATTTAAGTAACTTTCGAACAGCAAAATTATTTATTTATTTAAATGCTGGAGTTTGAGTACAAAGGCTCAAAGAAGACAAGCAAGTTGTTGTTGACAGTTGTATACAGCACAGACTTTAGTAGTATTTTTAGGCAACATGTTGTCATTGGTGAGGTATTAGGTTACTTAGGGAGTATAGTTACTATAGTTGACTGTGTAATAGTGTATAGACATGTATAGATACAGATATGAAGATAGATATGAAGATAGGATATTGAAGTCCATGTGGGGATTGTCAAGGGGAATTGGCAGAGGATTTGGACATGGATAACATAAATGCATACATGTATGAATTTACAAAATATTAAATGAATAAATCATAGAAAGATTGAAGTTAGCATTAAACTAAAGTATTAAACACAAAAAAATAAGAAAGAAAATTTTCTTTCCTGTCTTGATGGACTTTGGTTTGGTTTGTGGCTTAGAGTGAGCTATATGTTTGTATTTTCCTGATAACATTCCTAATACTATTTTTCCACTTGAGTAATTTATGGTGTTTCTCATGAATTATTTTGTCTAATATGTATCTATTTCCACAATATAGTCACATTTGTGGGGCTGTCTAGGCACAGTTACTCTGTTTCATGGCCAGACTCTCCTGGAACTCTTGTTGTATAATAGACTGGCCTCAAACAAACAGAGATCCATCTGTCACTGACTCTCAAGATATGGAATTAACTTAAGACCTGTATCAGTACAAAACTGCCCACTATAAGGTTCGTTCAAAGACGTTTTCAAAATCTTTCCTACTTCAAACCCAAAGCTACGCCTTCAGGTGAAATTGGTAGGTTCCAGAGTTTCTTGAGAGTTCGCCAAAGAGATTTCCCTCTCTTATTATGGAAGAAATAATATAGTCATTATGGTTGTGACAATATTGTTTTAGGCCTGCAAATCCTGTTAATAAGACAGAAGACTCATCTAGAACACAAGGGTGTTGATCAATCACTCACTCAGAATGCAAGCGTAAAAATCAGTGGTTTCTCCAGAATGAACAGTTTCAGTAATGTTGTAGATGAATATATTTAGCATGTGTCTAAGATTCTGCATACAAATCTTCACAAATCCTGTCAACATGACCAAATGACCACTATTTTCACATTTGAGAATCTACTGCTCTGTGAATTCCATAAAAGTCATTTAAGTTTCCATAAAGAATTGTATGACTAGAGGGAGAGAAGGATCTCATATTGGTGAAGTAATAAAATTAAAAAAGAACATTCAAAGAACAGCAAATTCAGCTTCTATGAAATAAGGCTCAAACATTATGCATATTTATGGATTCATTGGTAACTAGAGCTTCTGTAATTTATTTTTGTCCTTTCAAATTAATATCGGCAAAAATGTAAAGAAATATGCATGTGTAATTACAAACACTAAAATTAGATTGATAGACTGTTCCAAAATATTTTAAACAATTTAAAATTTTCATTTGTCCCTCGTGCCTAAGTACATAATATATATAAAATAAACAGAGTGAAGAAAAGAATGAACCTCATGTATCCTAGACACCAGAGCATCCATAGGCCTGCAAAAGTCAGAGAAAGAATGTGAACTTGTTGATTCTTGAATGTCCATAGAATATTGGCTACAGGAACAGGGACTTTCTCACATGCAATTGTGAACTGATAGAGTATTACCTGTGAAAAACAAAGACTCCTCTTGTAGGTGTGGCTAGGCAGCTATTCTCTAGTGTACTGCTCATAGAAGGTATATGATATACCTAGAGGATTTTTGTAGGTTAAACTGATTATGTATTTTGATCTTGAAATGCATGTCTTGTGTGAAGTCTCCTGCTAACATCACAGGTAACTGGAAAATAAAGAAAAACTGTAGGCACAAGATTGAGTAAGACAGAAATAAGGGAGTCTCTCAAATTAGTTGGGTGATGTGTAAAGTGAGAAGGAGGGCCACCTTCCAGAAGTAACTGAAAGACTTGGTCTATAATCACTTTACTTATGGCCACATACTCTGGATTTCACTCACTCATGCTCAGAAAAAGAAACAGCAAAGAATAATTGCATGCTGAATGTTTTATTATAATGTTGAAAGTATACTTACAACATCATTATTCATTGCAAATGACATTAAAGGATCTATCTTCAACTTCATCTGAAACAAATGAATAGAAAAACAAAGATCAGGGACAAGAAAATTACAATGTGCAAATCCAACATTTCTTGAAGTATCTCTGTTTTCTAAGGCTTTCTATTTCTGTTAAAGTTAAGGCGTATGATGCAGAGCGATTTTAGATCACAGGAACCATAGACTTCTAGGTTATATGAGGAAATTAGTATTTAGAAGTATATCTGATTCATGCCTTTAGGTAGAGGTTTTTGATCTGTGTAGTCTGAGCGTTGGTGTGAAGGATAATGCATCTGATTACCTTTGCACTGCCATGGAACCTCTTGGTTATACATAAAAGATCTACAGGGAACTTGACTCTTCCTCACTACCCTGCTGGGGTGGGCCTTGTTGATTTCCAGGTTTAGGAGGGCGATTCTGTTGCTGGCCTTCCTGCTGGGGTGGGCCTTGTTGGTTTCCAGGTTTAGGTGGGCGGTTCTGCTGCTGTCCTTCCTGCTGGGGTGGACCCTGATGTTTTCCAGGTTTAGGAGGGCGATTCTGCTGATGGTCTTCCTGCTGGGGTGGGCCTTGTTGGTTACCAGGTTTAGGATGGCGATTTTGCTGCTGGCCTTCCTGCTGGGGTGGGCCTTGCTGGTTTCCAGGTTTAGGAGGGCGATTCTGCTGCTCTCCTTCCTGCTGGGATGGGCCTTGCTGGTTTCCAGGTTTAGGAGGGCGATTCTGCTGCTCTGCTTCTTGCTGGGGTGGGCCTTGTTGGTGTCCAGGTTTAGGTGGGCGATTCTGCTGCTCTACTTCCTGCTGGGGTTGGCCTTGCTGGTTTCCAGGTTTAGGAGGGCGATTCTGCTGCTCTCCTTCCTGCTGGGGTGGGCCTTGCTGGTTTCCAGGTTTAGGAGGGCGATTCTGCTGCTCTCCTTCTTGCTGGGGTGGGCCTTGTTGGTGTCCAGGTTTAGGTGGGCGATTCTGCTGAGGGCCTCCCTCTTGGTTTCCAGGTTTAGGAGGGTGAGGTTTCTGGTGGTCATCTCCTTGTTGTGGTGGTCTGTGTGTTGTGTTTTCATCTTCGTCACCATCATCATTACCATCTTCTTCAGATGCAGAAGGTTTGGGGGGTTTCTGAAGAGGCTGAGCAGGGCCTTGACTTTGCTGCTCTTCCTCTGCAAGGGTATAAATCAATATAGGAGGTGTTCAAATTTTCTCTTTCTCCAAGATCACTCTCCCACCTCTATGTCCCTGGTTCCACTTGAACTTCATTTTATATCCACTACATAAACTTTCTTGTGTATCAAGTCTTTGGAGCAATTTTTTCTTAAGTTTCGTACATAAAAGTTGATAGGATATTCCTGACAATTCCCAGAGAGAAGTGAAGAAAACTCAAGTGTTTGTAAATATTCCAGGTTAAAAGTTGCCAGAATAAATAACAAAATTTTGACAGCAATGCTCTTAAATATATCATGGTGTTCAGGTTCTAGTTGTAATGTGGACTTGAAAGCAATGTAGAATTGTGATGAAAAGATGTTTCATTTAGTTTTTATGTATTGTCTTTTTATGTATTATTCAGGATGAGCATATGCTTGTTTTCTTGGGATCACTGGTGAAAGTGTGCCATGGAGAAATTTAAATGATGATACACTATATGCTCATCTTATGCAAGACATTGCTGCAATCTCTGTAAGAGACACAGTTTTCTTCTCATAAAAATCTGAGTTTCCCTCCTTCCATTGTATAATCCTACTCTAGCTTCTATAGGCAATAATGGGAAGTTGTCTTATATATCGCAGGGGAAGCTGTAACACATTAATTTCATGAAACAACAAAATGATACAGAGAGTTTACAGAGCCAAATACTTAAAACACTGAAGAATGCATAGGTCTCTGGAGGATTAATCTGGCTGTACCTGGGAGTTGCGAAGGAGAGTCTTCATAGATGGTTGCTAGGAAATAAGCACAAAGTAAGTTTAAGGTTAATTATGACCTTTTCAGGCTTCCCAGTTAAGAGGATTTTCAACTATATTTTCACATCCACCAAGTAGAATTTTATTCTTAGGTAATGTTGCTGATAATGCTGCCAGAATGTTTTCTATGATCAGGATCAACCACTATTTGGTTACTTATTAGCTTTCTCTTTCTTACTCTTATTCTTCATGTACGATCTGGGAATTTTGTATTTCAGTAGAATTTTATTTTGTTTTTTTTCCATTGATTTCTTATTTAAATTTGAAACAATGTTATTTTACATATCTATCCCATTTCGTTCTCGCACCCATTCTCCCATGCCTTACGCCCTATGCAATCTCACACACTCTCCATTCCCAAGGGAGAGTGACGTTTTCAATTGGTAATCATCAATGAGTGTCACAACATTTGAGCTTGGTCCTAGGCCCTAGCAAGTGTATTATGTTGAGAGAGTAGCCCTCTATAGAGAAAGGTCTTCCAAATCCATTCGTGCACTAGGGTGAAATTTTGATTCCACTGTAAGAGGTTCATATAATATCCATTAAACCTAATTCTCATAGAGGTCAGTAGGTCTGGTTCAGTCCTTTGTTGGTTCCCCAGCTGTCTGGCTGGTTTACATGAGCTCCTAGATTCTAAGGCCATCTGATTCTGTAGGTTTCTCCAGCATGGTTTTGAACACTGCCCATCACTACTCCACCTCTACAACTGGTTTGCCTCATTTATATTTTTCGTTATCACCTTCACTTCCTATATGATATATTCACAGGCATTTTATGCAATGAAATGAGAATAAACATTGTTTCAAATACTATGTATAGAAAAATGAATACTTACTATGCAACATTAAAATTGGGAAATAGGTGCAGCTATGTATCTCAGTGGGTAAAAATTGCTTGGCCTATGACTTGAAATATGTTTCAAATATGAATCCTATGTTAGAAAGACTAACCTTTCTCCCCATAAATATCTTCTGACTGGAATTGAATATATATGTTCTCCTGCCCTCTCTGACTGTATGGATTTCTCTATGTGTTACTCTCAAACACATATACACCATTTCACAGATAATTGTACATGTACACATGCATTGAAATAATTTATAAATCTCTCCTTCTATGTGTGTGTGTAGTTTTTGTAGTCCTCTGACTGGAATGTAATAAGCATGGTAAACTGTATCTCTCTTTACTATATCTGTATCTATATATTCATTCAAGACATTGTGCATGCACAACTATGCACTAAAATAATCTTAAAAAGAATTATTTCCTGATAATTCAAGCTCATTTTGTACTGAGTTTCAAATTCTTTATCTTTTACATTTCTCAAAAACATCTCCGATATATGTTTATTTCCTTCATTTTTCTCTATCTTCCAAACACCAAAGTTAGCATCATTCAGCCCTGCTTCTCATGGCACCTTAAGAACTGTGTTTCCCTCTGTCAACAGATTACCCTCTAACACACTATCTTCCATTATCCATCAACAAAAATGAATTTTCACAAATGCACACATGTTGTTTTGTTTCAAGCCGATATTCTTAATTATACTTTAATGTATAAGATCAACAGGCAAAATAAGAATATAAATATTCTATTATTTGTTCCCTTTTTTGCCTCAGTTTCTTGTTCATCTTTTTCCTTTCTTCCCAGTCCTGAACTTCAGTTTTGTCTTACAAATCGCATGTCACTGTACCACCCTTTCCCCTACTTCATACCTGCATGTGAGCTTTGAACAGAGCTCAGGGCCAGCAAGGCCACTGTCAGTAGGACCACCAGCATCTTGGCAGAGGCTCTGGAGTTGCTCCCAAGTCTGTGGTGGGGTCAGCAAAGCCACAGTCTTTATAAGGAAGGCAGAACAATGGCATGTTTCAGGTCCTCATTGTTGATCTGATCTGACACAGTAGGATACTTTGCATCATTGATATTTCTTTGGGATTCTAGCCAAGCAGGATGCAGTGAGGAGGAGCTTATTAATGTTTCAGTTCTAAATGGTACACTGTGAAATTTTAACAGCAATATTTAAGTGATACAGTCAAATTCCAGACATTAGACACACAGTTTTATCATTGTTCATGTCTATTGTGTAAGATCTATCATTGTTTAAGTCATTGTTATTGACATAACTCTGACTCTGACCTATTATCTATGATGTTGGGAGGATTTTCTTCAAAATATCTGTATATTTTTGTCCTTATTCTTCCTTTCATTGAGGTTAAGTCTCTCCTAGTAAGTGCAAATTTCCACTAGACGCCTATAAAAATTAGCTTATTGATTTATTTTGTTCTGCAGGGATTCAGTACACGAAGCAGAGCTGCATAATGCATGTGTCAAAGAATGACAGCCAATTTGGCCATATTCAGGCTGTGCACATTTCCCAAGTTTTGGTTGACAGAAGAGAAACTCTGATAACATAGAAATAGAAGATAAAATATTCTGTTCCTCCTCATGTCTTTGGTGTTAGATAAAGAGGATTGGCATTAGAGTACCCATGGATATATAGAACCATGTAATCAATGTGTATCTAGTTTTCCATGATTCATTAATGCTGTTTTTCTCAGATACATGTAAACTTCACTTTTTAATTATTGATTTTAAGACTGAATTAGAAAATGTTATGGTATTTTGGGGTTAATTGCTTCAAGTATTATTATTTTTTTATTTTAGCAGCATGCTTATTTACATATAAACTCCCTCCTTCCATTGTTCTCCCATCCACATATGCTCCCCAGAAAGCCTCATCCTCTCCTCAGGGTTAGTGAGTCCGTACACAGGAACACAATCATAGTCCCTCACATTAAGTGGAGGAGGGCCCAGGCTCTCCTTCACACATCTGAGACTCAGTTGTACCCCTTCATAGGGATAGGCTACCAAAGTCCTTTTGTGCTCCAATGATAAACATTGGCTACACTGTTAGATGTCACATACACTGCCCAGGGCTCCTAGCTGCCACCTATATTAAGAAGGCTTAGTTCCGTACAACAGTAGCTCCCCATGTTTATGACTAGAGTCTCTGTGCTCTCTCTAGGTCAGGACAACTGTGACATTGATCATTGATAGGATAGACACATGAAGAAAAACTGTGGCATCACCTTCACTGTCTGCATGGGTTGGGTTTCTTTGACTTATCTTAAACATGGTGAATCACATTTTCCATGATCTGATATGCAGTGCAGTGCTATTTTCCACCCTGACCTGTTGATGATTTTAAAAACATACAACCCACTGATTTGCTTTATCAGCGCCATCTCTCTGCTTCTTACATTTCCCATGAATTCCTTGACTTAGGCTTTCATTTTAGCTTTTAATTTTAATTGTTCTTTAGCTTTCTTGTGATTTGGATTCATTTTCTTCTATGCTGTTTTCTACTCATTTCCCTTCATATTAGTAGGCCAGATTTGAACCGTCAATGACAGCTTCATTTATCTTCATGAGCATAGTTTCATTTTTCCTCAAAAATATTAGTTAGTACATAACTAGGTATGGGTTACTCATTTTTACACCAGTACTTAGGGACAGAGGCAGGTGTATCTCTGTGTGATCTCAGCCAGTCAGGTCTATAAAGTGAGTTATAGGATAGTTAGTTCTATTATCTAAGGAAATACTTCCTTGACCAACAAGAAAATAAAAGGTTAGCACATGTTGTGTTTAGATAGTTATTGTTTGGATACTAATATTATTTATTCTGTAGTCCTAGTCTTTCCTCTTTCAGGTTGGACTCACTTGGCTTGGGAGGTGCACAACACAGTGTGTAAATAGCTGCATTTACATGTCTAAGACCATGGTTGCCTTTCATTATTGTCTTTTTTATTGGAGCTGGTAGAAATCGTAAGAGAAGTTGCATGAGTTAAATCAGGAAGACCTATGTAGTGTAATTTTATATGATCCATCATCCAGTGTGAAATACTTTCATGTGCTTGGCATATGAATTGACCTGACATTTAACTTCAAACACTATACAGGTTATCTAAGAAAGAAATTGACCAATAAAGTTTCCTTGCTACAGAGAAAGTGAAATAATTCTGTAGTGTTTTTCACCTCTTATGGTGATAATAGTTGTATTATGATGGGTAGCATACTTATTTGCCTTTGATGTTTTTGTCTGGTTCTAAGAAAACCAGAGACATTCTCACAAGACACTTAAAGTATTTTAAAGTCAGAGAACAACTGACTGTTGGAATTTGGCCCAAATTATATTGACAGCATAATCGTCTAGTGACTGCCTGTACAGTAATGGAATAATCTGGAGAAATGTGCTCCTGATCATGTATGGCTTTGGTAGACTTTATCCAGAGGAGTCACAGAAGGAGCAGCAGATAAAGTTAGGCTTTATTGTTCATTTGTACACAGCTGAGGAACTGGCTGTTCTCACAGAATCCATCTTTGTCATTTGTAGTTGGGACCTGCCAGAGAGAAGTTGATTTTTCCAAATATCACACAAGTAGAGCCCTTTTCTTGACCTTTTTCAGTGTTATCACTGTGTGCAAGAGATTATTATTTTATGCAAGAGAAATGAGACCTCACAAAGCTCCAGAAATAATATAATCAGGTTGTAGAGCAGGTGAGAGAGAATATTTAGTCACCAATATTGATGATGAGCTAAGTAATTCACATCATGCAAAAGGCTCTTAGGATCCTTCAGTGTTTGAAGTAGTTAGGAGTGGCTTCTCCTTAAGATCCAGCTGTAGGCGGTCTGGTAACATTCATGAAGAATTCAAATTCATGCCATTGCAAATGTTCTTTCTTGTCCTGCTTATTACCGAACTCCTAAAATACACACTGTTTGGGATCTGCTCATATGGAAGTTACATTTTTATCTTTTTGAGGATTCGGTATTCATGGGATGAGTTCTGTGTGTCATCTCATTTTCATTCTGTAAGCCATCGTTTTTGTAAACATTCTCAGCAGCATTTGTTATTCATTTCTTGAATCACAGTGACTGTTTTGACTGACACCAAATTGAACAGCCTCACGGTTGTAAAATATATTTCTATGAAAACTAAAAATGTCCAACATTTACAAAATATTTATTAACATTGTAAATTACCCATGCAAACATGTCCAATTAAGGCTGGAGGTATGCCTCTTCTTTAAATAATAGGCCCTCAGGAAGGATTGTAAGTGAAATACCTTTTCAATATTTTGTGTTTAATTTCTACAAATGGAGTCTTTTACACATTCTAAGTGTTAGTATCATAATTGTTACCCTGGTAACACAATCTTTTCTTATCATTTTATTTTTTGGTTTAGAAACAAACTAATTTTACATATTAATCCTGTTCCCTCTTCCTCCCATTCTCCCATGCCCCCAAACGACCCCCCCTTCCCACACCCATCCATAACCCAAAGGAGATGAGGCCTTACATGGGTGATCATCAATGTCTGTCTTACCATTTGGGTGAGGGATTAGGTCCTCCCTCATGTATCTAGTCTGAGAGAGGATCCCTCCATGCAGAATGAGCTCCCAAAGTCCATTTGTGAACTGGTAATAAGTACTGATTCCACTGTCAGAACTCGATAGACTGCTGAGGTGTCCTTAATGACACCACATTCGGAAGACTTTTTTGGTGCAATGCTGTTTCCGCAGTTTTACAACTGGAATATGTGTGCTCCCACTTGGTCAGGTCAGCTGTTTCTGTGGGTTTCTCCAGGATGGTTTTGGCCCCTTTGCTCATCCCTCTTCCCTCTCTACAACTGGAATCCATAAGTTCGGCTCAGTGTTTAGCTGAGGATGTCTGATTCTGCTTCCCTCAGCTACTAGATGAAGGGTTTAGGATAGCATTTAAGGTAGTCATCAATCTCGTATACTGGAATGTCATTTCAGGTAGTCTCTCCACTATTGCTTAGATTCTTATTTGGGTCATCTTTGTGGATTTTGGAAGTACCAGCTGTTTCTTTACACCTGTAATGGTTCCTTTGAGAAATGCTACTATTTCCCTCTACTGTGTCAAACTGTGTAATTTAATGTAATCGCTTTTGTCGATTTTAGGGTCTTATTTTTTAAGTAAATCCTTTTCAGTATGTCCTAGTTATATTCATTAGAATTCCCTCTATGTTCCTGAATGGTTGTAAAATTTCTTTATTTTTTTTAACATTTGAATAAATTAAAAGTGAATTAAACTTGGACAGATTTCTATGTAGGGTAAAGGTATTCATCTAAAAGAGGATATAGGAAAATCCCTCAAAGAAATGGAATAAAAAACAAACCAAAAAATGCAAGAAATGGAAGAAAAAAAACAAAAATGCAAGAAATGGAAGAAGAAACATACCAAAAAAGGCAGGAAATGGAAGAAAAAAAATAAACCAAAAAATACAAGAACTGGAAGAAAATGGAAACCAAAAACTGCAAGAAATGGTAGAAAAAGCAATCCAAAAAATGCAAGTAATGGAAGAAAAAACAAACCAAAAAATGCAAGAAATGGAAGAAAAAAAACCAAAAATGCAAGAAATGGAAGAAGAAACAAACCAAAAAATGCAAGAAATGGAAGAAAAAGCAAACTGAAAAACGCAAGAAATGGAAGAAAGACACACCAAGAAATTCATAAAATCAAAAAATGGATGGAAAGAAGAACCAAAAATTGCAAGAAACAATGCAAACAGTGCAAGGGCTGAAAACTGAAATAGAGACAATAAAAAAAAAAAACACAGTCTGAAGGAAGGCTGGAAATAGAAATGCTGGGCAAACGGTCAGGTACTACCGATACAAACATTGCCAACAGAATACAAGGGATGGAAGAGAGAATCTCAGGTGTTGAAGATACACTAGGAGAAATGGATTCATCAACCAAAGAAAATCTTAAG